GTTCAAGGCTGGCCTGGTCTACACAGCAAGTTTCAGGGCAGCCACAGTGACCTGGTGAGATCCTGTCTAAAAAAATAAATAAACCATTATTGGCGGGCTGGAGAGATGGCTCAGAGGTTAAGAGCACTGACTGCTCTTCCAGAGGTTCTGAGTTCAATTCCCAGCAACCACATGATGGCTCACAACCATCTGTTATGAGATCTGGTGCCTGCTTCCATATACATGGAAGCAGAATGTTGTATAATAAACAAATAAATAAATAAATAAATATTTTTAAATTTTTTTTTAAAAATTAATTAATTAATTAATTAAAACTGGCCTTGAAAGCACAGCTCATCTTCACAGCCACATGGCTGTTCCAGGGACACCTTCCCCAGCCCTGTGAGAACTTTGACACCGCAGTGGAATGAACTGAACTGCCAAAGGAATGAATGCAGTTCGAGAGCTGTGGAGGACATGGATAGCCACAATGCTGACAGCTCCCTCTCAGCCATGAGAATATTGTTTTAACAGCCAGTCAACGGCACAAGGGTGTTGGCAAATTGCTAATGTTTCCTGATTGTGGATTCCCACCTCAGGTCATCTAGAGGCCACTGTGGGAAACCACCCAGTGGTAACATCCTGCCCTAGGCGATGACAGCTGAATGGCCCTGCCCAACAGGTACCTGCTGTGTGGGCCCCTTCAAACCCTGGCAGGACATTCTGTCCAGAGTTCTACACACCAGCAACCCCAGACGGTCCCCAGCACTGTGGGGACCAATCTTGGGATGAGTCTTTAGGTCTCTAGTGCCAACCGTTTTGTGAAGAGGGTTTTTGGTTTGTTTGTTTGTTTTGTTTGAGACAACATCTCACTATGTAGCCCTGATGACCTGGAACTTGTTATGTAGACCTTGAACTCACAGATGCCTGAATGCCACTGCTTCCTGAATGTGAGGATTTTGTTCCCTTCTTTTTGAGACAGGGTCTTGCTATGGAATCCAGGCTGGCATCCAACTTGTGATTTTCCTGGCTCCACCTCCCAAGTGTTAGGATTATAAGTGTAAGTCACCACACCCAGTGGGAAGAATTTTATGTTTTTATCATTACCCTATTGTGGTGTGTGCTAGGCAGGGGCTCTACCCCTGAGCCACACCCCAACCCCTCACTGGGGGAGTCTAGTGGTGCCCTAACCACTGAGTAACACCTCCAACCCTTAGTTCTAGGCAGTGGCCTTACTACTGTGTCTAGTGCCTAGAACTTTTTATTAAATGGCATTTTTTTTGATGATCCCTGAGGACACTATATATGGAAGCACTATGACACCCACTGGCCCATAACTTCATGGCTCATCAGTCAGAAACAAGTTCTTTGTGAGAAAGGACAAACA